GAGGAGAGGCAGAGAGGAAGGAGGACATGAAAGAGGGAAACAGGAAGGAGAGGAGAGTGAGGGAAGGAGAATTAGAGAAAGACTGAAAGAGGAAGGAAGAAGGAGAGTCAGCAGAGGAGGAGGAGGAGGGCGGGGGGAGAAATTAAGGAAGAGAGCGAGAGAGGGAAGCTAGACAGGAAGGAGGAGACACGGAGGGAAGGAAAGAGCAAGGGGGAAGTAAAACTAGAGAAGGAATGAGAGAAAGAGCAAAAGAAAATCAGAGAAAGGAAGAAAGAGATAAAGAGCGAAAAGGAGAGAGGAACAGTAATGGAGAGAGTGAGGGGAGGAAGAGGAACAGTGGAAGGCAGAGAGAATGAGAGGGAGAGACGGAACCAGGGGAAGGGAGGAAAAATACATAAAAGAGAGACGGAGGAAGGAAGAGAGACGGGAGAGAGAAAATGAGGGAAACAGAAAGAGACACAGAAACGGAAAGAAAGGGAGGGAGGGAGGAAGACAGAAACAGAAAGGGAGGGAGGGAGGAAGTTAGAGAGGAAGGCAGACAGACAGACTGAAATTGAAAAAGACTGAGAGAAGGGGCGAGGAGGGAAAAAAGGGACAGAAAGGAGAGAGAGAGAGAGAATCAAAGGAAGGAAGGGAGAGAGGAGAAAACTGTGAAAAGGAGCGCGAAAGTGAGAGAGACGAAGGAAGAAACAGTGACAGAAAGGATGAGGAAGGACGGAAGGAGAGGGGGGAAGAGAGGCTCAAAGGCAGGAAGACAGAAAGGGAGAGGGCAGAAGGGGTGAGAGAAAAAGGAAGAAAGATAAAGAAAAACAGGAAGGAAGGTAGAGAAAGAAGAAAGTAAAAGGGAGAAAGAAATAGAGGAAGAAAGGAAGCTAGAGAGGGATACAGAGAGACAGAGGGAGGAAGGAGGAAAGAGCAAAAGAGAAAGGAACGAAGGGAAGAAAAGGAAGGGAGAGAATGAAAGCAATAGGGGAAGAAAGGAAGAGAGAGACAAAGAACCAAGGGGGAGAGAGAAAGAAAAAGAAATAGAGGGGAAGGGAGAGAGGAAGGAAGGGGAGAGAGAGCAGGGAAGAAAGAAAGGGAAGGAAAAAGCATTAGAGGAAGGAAGGCAGAGAGAGGAACAAAAGGGGAAAGAGGAAGGAAGGGAGGGAGAGGAGGGAGATAAATAGGGAGAGAGACAAGTGAGAGGAGGAAAGAGAGGAAGGAAGAGACAGAATCAGAGAGAGGGGGAAGGGAGGGAAGGAGAGAGAGAGAGATAGAGAAGGAAACAGAAGAAAAGGGTAAAGTGAGAGAGTTACGTGCAGAGAGAAGACAGACGGTGAAGGGAAGGAAATCAAAGGAAGGGAAAGAGGGAAGAGAGAATCGGAGAAGGAAGGAAAGAGAAAGAAGAGGAGGGAAAGAACAAGTGATAAAGAAATGGAGGGAGGGAGAGAAAGAGACACAGCAGGAAGGAAGGAATCAAGAAAGGGAGAATGAGAGAAATACAGAGACAGAGGAAGGGAGAGAGGAAGAGATGAAGGAATATAGCAGAAGAGCGAGAACATGAGAGGGGAGAGGAAGAAAGAGATAAAGGGAGGGAGAGAGAGAAAGAGAAATAGAGGGGAAGGAAGGGAGATGAGGGAATGAGAGCGTAATAAGAGACAGGAAGAGGAAACAAGCTAGAGAGAGGCAGAAAGGGAGTGAGAAAGGAGGGTAGAAATCAACAAAGGAAGGAAAGAAAGGATTAACGAGAGTGAAAGAACCAGAGATAAAGGAAGGGAGAATGAGAGAAAGAGATGAGGAAAGGGAAATAGGAAAGAGGGAAAGAAAGAAGAGGAGGAATGAAAGAAGATAGAATGAAGGAAAGAGAAAGGAGAAGAGAGAATGAGAGGTAGAGAAGGAGGAAGAGAATGATAAAGAGCAAAAAGGAGAGACAGAAAAAGACGTGAGGAAGGAAGGAATTGAGGACGGGAGAAAGAGAGAGAGGACAGAAAGACTGCAACACAGAGAAAGACAGGAAGGACGAGGGGGAAACAGAAGTAGAGAAAGAGAAAAGAGTAGAGAGAAAAAAGGAAGTTATAGAGTTACAGAGCGTAAGAGAAAAAAAAGAGAGAGAAGGAAGGAAGGAGGACAGAAATAGAGCAACGGAAAGACAGACTGAGAGAAGAAAGAAAGGAACAGGGGAAGGGAGAGAGAACAAGAGATGAAGACTCAGAGAGAAGGAAGGAGAAAGACTGAAAACAGACAGAAAGGAAGATAGAGGGAAGGAGAGGAAGAGAAACAGGAAGGAAGGAAGGAGACACAGAAGGAAGGAACCAAGGGAGAAAGGAGGAAGAGAGAAAATGAGGAGAGCAGAGAAGAGACACAGAGACGTGGAGAGGAAGGGAGGGTGAGAGAAATATATAGAGAGAGACAGAGGAAGGGAGGGAGGGAGGAAGGAGAGAGAGAAAGAGGGGGGATCGAAGGAAAGTGGAAAGGAAGGACGAAAGAGATGAAATACAGGGGAAGGAAGGAAGACAGATAATGAGAGGAAAAGACAGAAGGACAGAAAGGGTGAGAGAAAAAGAGAGGCAGGAAGAGTGAAAGAGGAAGAGTGTGTGGGAAAGAAAGCAACAAAGCAAAGAAGAGTGGGGGGGGAGAAAAGGAGAGAAAAGGGAAGGAAGATAGAGGCAAAAGAATGAGAGGAAGCAAGGGAAAGAGACAGAAAAAAGGGAGAGAAAACGACGAAGGACAATGGATAGGCAGAAAGAGAGGGAAGGAGAGAGGAAGGAAGTGTCGGAAAGAAACAGAAGGAAACAAAAAGCATTAGAGAAAGAGGGAAAGAAATAGAGAAAGAAAATCAGAGAAGAAGAATGGAAGGACAGTAGAAGAGGAGAAAGGGAGGAAGAGAGGAGGAAGGCTGGAGAAAGAGACGGAAGGAAAGAGAGGAGGGAACAGAATCAGAGATGGAGAGAGGAAGGGAGGGAGAAAGATGTAGAGAAGGAAAGAATCAGAAAGAGACAGATGAAGGCAGAGTTAAGGTAAAACAGAGGGTAGAGGGAAAGAGAAGGGAACTAGGGAACATAACGATGAGGGTAGCGAGCCTAAGGGAAAGAAACAGAAGGAAAGCAAGAGAAAGAAGGGACAGAAAAAAGAGAGGGGAAGGAAAGGAATCAAGAAAGGGAGAACGAGAGAGTGGGAAAATACAAAGCGAAAGAGGAAGAAAGGAAGATAGAGAAGGAAGAGAAAGGGTCAAAGAAAGAGGCGAAGGAAGATGGAGGAGGAGGAAAAGAGAACAACAGAGCAATGAGACAAGGAGCAAGAGGAAGGGAGAGAGAGACTGACTCACGCTCCAGGGGAGACAGCGCTCAAGCATCTCGGTCCGTAAGCAAGGCTGTCCTGGGCGAGGAAGCTGATCTAGGCTGGCTGGTCCCCTCTTACCTTTTTCTTCCTTCTTCTTCCCTCGTTTCTTCCTCCCTTCCCTCCCCCTGCCCTTCCTTCCATTTTGGTTGCATTTTTACTTTATTTTGGTGTGTATTTGATTTACTCTGATGTTTTTTAGGTGTATAGTAACATGATCTAGTTATACATACATACATAGATCTGTGTGTGTACAGTATATATGTATATATAGACCTGTACACATATATAGTGTATATATACTGTACACACACACACACACAGATTCTGACCCAGGGCTCAGTAGAACCCCCTGTGCTCCACATTAGGCCTTGGTGACTGTTACTTACACTACTGTGTATATGTCAGTTTTATGGGCAGGTGGCGCTAGTGGTAAAGAACCATCTGCCAGTGCAGGAGATATAGGAGACATGGGGTTTGATCCCTGGATCGGGAAGATCGCCTGGAGAGGGACATGGCAACCCACTCCAGTATTCTCGCCTGGAGAATCCCATGGACAGAGGAGCCTGTGAGCTACAGTCCATAGGGTCACAAAGAGTCGGACTCTCCTGAAGCGACTGAGCACGCACAGATGTCAGTCCTAACCTCCTGATTTATCCCAGACACACCACTCAACAGCAGGAGCAAACCTCCCCTCTCCACGGGCTCAGGCTTCTCTGAGGGTGCCTGAAGACAGGCCGTCTCCACCCCACCCCGTCCTGGGCCCTGCTGTGACCTCGGCAGCCCCATCTTCTGCCGCACACCCCCCCAGCCACGCAGGGTCAGCCTGGTGACCAGCAACTGTCTGGGTCTCCAGCTGCAGCTGCCGCCCTTACACACGAGCGTCCAGCTCTGCTGATGACCCGCACACCTTCCTGTGTTCACCTTTTTCAAGGGCTCCCGAAACCAGGGGCCACGTGGCTCTTTGTACATCCCAGGGTCAAGAGGAGCCTGTGTGTCCATCCACTCTGGGCCAAGGCTGGCATGGCCCAGGGGAGCTCAGGAGAGTGTGTGTGAGGCCTGGGGCGCCCACCCACACCCACCAGGAGCCGGATCTCGACCCCCAGTGCTGGTGGGTGAGCTGGCTGACCCACCGAGAGCCGAGACTAGTCACCTGGGTACTTACTGTCTGCATTGCCGGCCCCAGACAGGTGCTTTTCACCTCTTTTGCGGACGGAGAAAGTGAGGCTTTGAAGACTAAGTCCTCTGACCTGGTTAACCCGCGTTAAGCTCTGCAGCAGGGATGTGGATCTTGGGTCTGTCAGGCTCTGTAATCTAAGGCCCTGGCATTTAGGGGCATCATCTGGGCCGGTGATCCAGCTACCCCAGAATCTGCCTGGATGTGCCCCTACTCCATGCCAAGGTGGGGTCTGGGCAGCCCCTCTGCATTGGCCCAGCTCACGTCTCCTCCTAAAAGCACACTCGAGCCTCAGGAGGCCCTGCCCACCGTGCCTGCCAGGTTGTCTGAGGTGGGGCCTGGCGCCTGCCCACCGCAGGCCACCTTCCTGGCTCAGGGTCTCAGGCATCAGTCAGCCTTAAGGAGGGCAGCATCCTGTCCCGCGGGGTCATGAGGCTGGCGAGGTAACCCCCGCCATCACGCCTCCACCAAGGCAGACCAAGCACCCCCGTCCCGCCCTCCCCAGGTGCCCGGAGCAGTACCCAGGCTGACTCAGGCTCCAGTGAGGACGAGGCAGCCAGCGAGGCCCGCAGCACTACCAGCGAGTGTCCCAGCCAGCTGAGCGCCGCCGCCGAGGAGAGCCTTGGTGAGAGGGGACGGGGTGCAGCGGGGACCCCGCGGGGCTCCGGGGGTGGGCCGGAAGGGGCATGACGAGCTGGCCTTGCAGGGGGGGAAGCCGTGGAAGAGCAGGGTCAGCAGGAGGACCTTGAGGAGAAGGTGAAGGAGTATGTGGACTGCCTCACAGACAAGAGGTACCCCGACCTCCAGCCAGCCCCGTCCCGCGTCCCTGCTCAGCCCGCGCCGGCTGCCAGGGCGGGCTGGCCTACGAAACCCCTTCTCCGTCCCCCAGTGCCAAGACCCGGCAGGGCGCTCTGGAGAGCCTGCGCCTGGCCCTCGCAGCCCGTCTGCTCCCCGACTTCTTGCTGGAGCGCCGCCTCACCCTGGCCGATGCCTTGGAAAAGTGCCTCAAGAAAGGTGGGGCCCAGGGTGCAGGGGGGCGGCCCTGAACCAGCTGGGTGCCGGCCCTCGCTGCCTGGACTGACTGCCGGCCTTCCCGCAGGCAAGGGCGAGGAGCAGGCCCTGGCCGCGGCCGTGCTGGGCCTGCTGTGCGTGCAGCTAGGCCCCGGCCCCAAGGGCGAGGAGTTCTTCCACAGCCTGCAGCCGCTGCTCGTCTCTGTGCTCAGCGACAGCGCGGCCAGCCCTGCCGCCCGGCTCCACGTGAGTGTCCTCGCCCAGGCTACCCCGCCTGCACCTCATCCCCCACCTCCGCCCCCAGGCTCCCCCTACTCTGAGGGTGAGCCCGGCCAGCGGCGGGAAGCCCGGGCCTGCCTCTGACCACCGGCCGCTTTACCCCCCTCCCAGCAGTGTGCGTCCGCTCTCGGCTTGGGCTGCTATGTGGCCGCCGCCGACATCGAGGTGAGTGGCCTAGAAGCCCCGGCGGGAGAGCCCCCGGGCCCCGGCCCTGCCCCTGAGCCCGTCCCCTGCCTCCTGTGCGCCCCCTAGGACCTGGTCTCCTGCCTCACCTGCTTAGAAGGTGTTTTCAGCCGGGCCTGCAGCGGGCGGGGCTCTGGCCCGGTGGTCCCCGCCAGCCTGCAGGGCCTGCTCTGCGCAGCCCTGCAGGCTTGGGCGCTGCTCCTCACCATCTGCCCCAGCACGCACATCGGCCCCATCCTGGACAGGTAGGGGCACTGCGCCCCCACCCCGGGAGCGGGAGGGCCGGGGTGAATAGGCCCCCCGGCCCACACACAGTGGCTCAGCCTGCCCCTTCCCCAGGCAGCTACCCCGGCTGCCCCAGCTCTTGTCCAGCGAGAGTGTGAACCTGCGGATGGCTGCCGGCGAGACCATCGCCTTGCTCTTTGAGCTCGCCCGGGACCTTGAGGTGTGAGCGCCGGGGGCGCGCTTGGAAGGGTGCCTGCCAACGCCTCCTGCCCGTCTGGGGCGGGGTGCCGGGGATGCCCCAGAGAGCAAGGCAGCCTGAGATCACTACAGAGGGGACGCGGCCCCCACCGACTCAGATGCCGGGTGCTCTGAGGGGCCCCTGGCCGGGGTGTCTGGCACAGGCAGGGGCCAAGGAGGAGGGATCAGGGGTCAGGCAGAGGAGAACACGGCTCCCTCTGGGAAAGGCAAGGTTGGGGCGAGCCCACCGGGCTCAGAGCCAGCGGCGCTCAGGCCCGGCCCCCGTGTCCTCCCCGGCTCCACTGCAGGAGGACTTTGTCTACGAGGATATTGAGGCCCTCTGCGGGGAGCTGCGCACTCTAGCCACTGACAGCAACAAGTACCGGGCCAAGGCCGACCGCCGGCGCCAGCGCTCCACCTTCCGGGCGGTGCTGCACTTCATCGAGGTGCGTGTGCAGAGGCAGTGGTCAGCCACACCCCTGATCCCCGGGCACAGTGGGCACAGCCGCCGAGCCCAGTCCTGGCCCCTCTCACCTGTAGGGCGGCGAGTGTGAGGAGGAGACCATCCGCTTCGGCCTCGAGGTGCTCTACGTGGACAGCTGGGCCCGGCGCCGGGTCTACGCCGCCTTCAAGGACGCGCTGGGCTCCGGGATGCACCACCACCTCCAGGTGGGCGGGCGGGCCGACGGGGAGGGGGCACCCTGGGGCGGTGCCACACGGACCTGAGCTCACGGCCTTCTCGACCCCCAGAACAACGAGCTGCTCCGGGACATCTTCAGCCTGGGCCCGGTGCTGGTGCTGGATGCCGCAGCCCTGAAGGCCTGCAAGATCTCCCGTTTCGAGAAGGTTCGGCCCCTTTTTCTCTCCTCCACTGCTTTGGCTTGGCGCGCTGGCGGGGGCTGGAGGAGGGCGGGGCCGCCGCCTCCCCCGCTCACGCCCCTCACTCTGCGCCCCCCAGCACCTGTACAACGCGGCGGCCTTCCGAGCCAGGACCAAGGCGCGCAGCCGCGTGCGGGACAAGCGGGCGGACGTCCTGTGACAGACTGTCCGCGTCCTCGCCTGTTTTTTTTAACAGAAGACCGTGCAACACCTGGTCCCTGCCAGGACTTGTCGCTTTTATTTTTTTAATGACAAAACCAAAGAGATACGGGGCTGGGCTGGCTGGAGGTCACTTGGGACCCCCGCACGCAGCCCTGTGGCCTCTCCCCCGTCTCAGGGCTGCGGGGCGGGCAGAAGGCGGCGCCTTCCTCAGGCCTTGTGCCCCTGCGATGAGTCACTTCTTGTGTGTGGGGGGAGGGTGGTATCTGGACAAATGCCACTATGCCACAGTGGGGCGGTGATACTACCTGGAGTGGGAGTTTTGTGCTGGCTTTTAAAGATGATTAGAGATAATTAAACAGAACGCGCAGCCTTCTGTGGCCCCGGCTGTTTCCTCTGCCCTCCCTCCCACCCAGGTTTTCACGCTGCTGGGCCTCCCCGTCCCCATCTGCTTACCTGTGCCCTCCGAAGGTCTCCCCGCCATGGCCCGCCTCCCTCCTCCCCGGAGCCCAGCCTGTCTTTTGAGCGTGGAGACTGGACCCCACATTGGGAGGCTTGGCTGAGTTTGGGTGACCAGCTATTTTTAGGCTTCTGGACCCACCATCTGGAGGAGGCCAGTGGGTGCTGCCAGGCCCCAAGAGGAGCCAGGAGGCTGGTGTGGCTTCCTCTGACCTTGGGCCACACCAGGCAGAGCCTCAGCCTCAGAAGGCCTGGCCTGGCCTGGCCAGAGAAGCCACGAGAGGCGGGCAGCTGTGGGGTCAGATCAGATCTCACGCCAAAACCGCACCCAGGAAGTCGTGAGGAGCAGCAGTGGGAGAGGAGAAAGCTGCCAACAGCCACTTTATTCCCCGGCACATACCCCCAGGCCCCTGGTCCAAAAGGCATCTCAGCTGGGTGCTCGGGCCTCACTGGAGTTGAGCCTCCGCAGCTGGCTGAGGCTGGCGAGCCGGAGTTTGAGCAGCACCTCCTCCTGGGTTCGCAGCGTGTGCGCCAGCACGCGGAGGGACTCGCTCTGCAGCACTGCCAGAGGAATGGGGATCAGCCACCCCGCAACACCCTGCCCTCCCAGCTCCGCACTGCCTCGGTCTCCCCCTTCAGCTGGCTCCCGATGCCCTCCCTACCACTCAGGTAGACGGCCAGCACGGCCAGTGCCAGGCAGGTGAGGACCAGCAGCGCGAGCAGCAGCAGGAAGGCCCCGTGGCTGTGCAGCGGGCTGCAGCCGGCCTGGGCGCACAGTGAGGGCGGCAGCACGCCCAGCAGCTCGCCCCACGGCTGCCCCTCCTCGGCCAGGTAGGGGCACAGCGGACCTGCAGGGCAGACGGGGCATCAGGAGGGCAGGCAGGCGAGCCTGCATGCCTCCCAGCTCCCTGCGCTCAGACCAGCGGCCCCACTCCCCTGCCCCCTCTCACCGCCGTTGTGAAGGTCACTGATGGACTCCACCCGGTGGAGGCGCACCTCCTCCACGTGGTTGGGAGCCAGCGGCGCCCTGCTCCTCATCAGGGCTGCGGTGTCTGCGGGGGCAGCGTGGGACTGGTTGAGCCAGCGGGTCAGGCCCCCCCCGCCCTTCCAGAGGGTGTCCGGCGGCAGCAGGGGTAGAAGGGGCCTTCGGGCTCCTAATCCCCTAAAACCAACTCAGAAATGACCTGTGATTTGCAGCCAAGACGACCCGAGAACCACGTGGGCCTCTCTCACCCACAGGAGCAGGAAGGGCACCTGACTTAGCTTTGTTTCCCCCAGGCAGTCAGGGACTCTGGGGCAGTCCTCTCTGCCTGCTCATGGCCAGATCATTGGAGGACTAAACCCACGGCCCCCGACACTCCCTGCTGCAGCCTCTGCGGTCAGTTTGCCCCACACTCCCTGTGCCTGCCACCTTGTTCCTGTCCCCAACAGCAGCGGCCAGCGTGGTGCCCTTCCCTCCTGGCCTCTGCTCTGCCAGATTCTGGGAACTCTCTTCTCACTCAGGATCACAAGGAGGCTGCCTTTGTTACCTAACTGCTACACGCGCCTGCGAGGTCTCCCCTCCAGGCTGCCTGAGCATTTAGCTTGTTTCCAGTTCCCTGCTGAATTCAGTAACTCCTTGGAACGGATGTGTACAAGGGTTTCCCCCCAGTTTCCCAGTAGTTACTAACGATGGATTCCTAGAAATAGAATTAGCTATCATCAGGTTTTCCCCGGGGATAGTTGTCCAGAGCCCCTAAAAGAGTACAACATCGCCACCATTAGGCATCTCCACTGAAAAAAAATGTTATATATGTAAGCGTTCACATACATATTTGCTAAGTTAGGAGATGGTGGTTCTTCCCCCCTCATTCTCTTTAAATGTTGGCCCCTTGAGATCTCCAGGACTTCCCTGGTGGTGCAGTGGAGAAGAGTCCACCTGCCAGTGAAGGAGACACGGGTTCAGTCCCTGGTCCAGAGGATTTCACGTGCTGCCGAGCAACTAAGCCTGTGTGCCACAACTCCGAGCCCACGTCCTGCAAGTACCGAAGCCCGAGCCCCTCGGCGGGGGAAGGTGCCGCAGTGAGAAGCCTGCGCGCCAAAGAGTAGCCCCCGCTCTCCACGACTAGAGCAACCAGCACAGTGCAAAAATAACTAACTAACTAACTATAAAAAACCTCCAGAAGCCTAGCTGGAAGCTCGAAAACAAATTTGGGGGCATTAGGAAGACACCTCCAGATAGAGCCAAGGGTGATGGGACTCTCTGGGTCTCTGGCTTTTAGAATACTACCTCGACGTTCATATTTGCTTCAGACTGGCTTTTGAGATGCTCGAAATATGTAAAACAAAAACTGACGCTGTCTGGGTGGTGGTGGGTTGGGGTCATATTAAATGCTTTCTGTGCACTTGGCTGTGCTTTTTCCACACTAAAAACTGAACTTAGATTCTGTTTGTGACCCCAAAAAACACATAGTAAATGTCATCCTTAAGACGTCAAAAGGAAGCACACAGTCGCACACCCAGGGCCAGGCCCCTCCCATTCGGTAATAAACATTGACGCTGTGGGTGGGGCGGGAGGAGTTGACCAGCTGGTCCCACACGCTGGCCAGCATCCAATGGGGAGCTGCCCGGGTCCCTGTGCTCCCCCTCTGAGCCTCCGTACCTCCTGCCCGAAGTGCGGCAATTAGGAGACCGGCCACCAAAGTCTAACTAGAAGTCAGTCTGGCCAGGCCAAGGGACCCAACCTTTAGCCAGATGGGGCCACACAGGCCCACGTGGAGGCCAGAAGCCAATCACTCCCAGCCCCTGGGCCATGTGCCCAAATGCTTCCCAGGACCGCCTCCCATGCCCAATCCTATGTCCTCCCTGAAGGCAGACCTTCCCAGACCAGCCTGCCCCACCCACACCCACTTGGGCCTAGAGGTGACCCTGCCCCAGCGGGAGAGCTGCCCCTAATTCCTCCCGCTGTCCTTCGCACGGGGGACAGGTATGAGGTGAGGAGGCATTCCCGGCAGGGGAAGCCCTTCCTCCACGTGTAGGGGACACGGGGCCTGATGACGCGTCAAGGAAGTGAGGTCAGTGGGACAGGAGCCAGGTTTCTCCACGGTCCACAGGGTCACAGTACTGGGGCCTTACCCGCTCCCCACCCAGCGATCATCTCTTACCTTCCTGGGTCTCCTCTGACATGGCGGGTGGTGGGCAGCGGAGGGCCGATGAGGGTGCCCAGCAGCAGGACCGGATAGAGGCAGCGGTGGCTCCGCTGAGAGCCCGGCGAAGGCCTGGCCGCCTCCCAACCTCGGCTGAAAATAGACGTGAGCTCAGCACTATGGGCTATATTTAGAGGGGGCATCTCCCAGCCATGGGAAGGAGCGGAGTGACCTACATGGACCAGGCTAGGCTGTCCACCTCCAGCACACCTCCAGCGGTGCACGCCCCCAGGGGCCCCGCTGTTCACGTCTGCAGGGCCCTGGCATCATCCAGACAGACCTCCAGCGATGCCCCCCCATGGCAGCTGAAACACGCAGGGAGCCCCATGCATCTCCACCCTCCGCCTCTGAAGACCTCTTCTCCTGGCAGATGTGGGACAAGCACCCACTGCTGTGCGATCTGCTGGCATCACAGATTAGGGGTGATGGACTACTAGAGCCCAGTGCCCTGAGGAGAGGCCCCCTACGGGGACAGAGACACCCGCCAAATACATGCAGGTACCCCTGCTGGTCGGTCGAAGGTCATTACTTCATTTACAGTTACTAAGTTTACAGCCTTGGGTTTAGGAGTGAGTATTCCCTTTCAGACCTCAGTTTTCTCATCTGTAAAACAGGAGTAATGATGGTTTCCACCCGGCACAGTGGACACGCAAATGGAAAATACCACGTCCGAAGTGCTCAGCCCAATGCAAAGTTTTGATCTTCCTCTCTCCACAAGGGCAGACAGATCACACAAGGTCATGAGAGGATGCCCATCACCTCTGGCCCTTAAGGAGAGCAAGTGCTCCAGCTTAGAACCTGCCCTTGTGGACCCCTGTGTCCCTCCTTCCCAAGTGAGACAAAGCCAGACAGCAGGCTGTACTTTCTAAACATCCCAACACGCATCACTCCGCTCCGTCACACTGACCTCCTTGATATCCTCAAACTTGAGCTCGTTCCCACGTCAGGACCTCGGCGAGCTGTTCCCCGCTTGGAGTGCTCTTCCCTAGATGTCCCCATTGGCTGGCTCCTCGTCATGTCACTCAAGTATCACCCCCCCTCAGTGAAGCCTTCTGCTCACATTTTCCCAACTTTATTTTTTCCATAGCATTTAGCCCAGGGATTATATCATTCAGAATATACAGCTGACAGACTCTGAGGCTGTGCACTGGAAAATCCATGTATAACTTTGCAGCCCCCCCCCCCCCACCCCCTGGGTCCATGGTCTGAATCTGCAGATTTCACAAACTGGGGATCCTGTCATACTGTTTATTGGAAAAAACCCACATCTAAATGGATTCCATACAGTTCAAACTGGTGCTCTTCAAAGGTCAAATGTACTACACATGTCAGTATCTGCTCAGGCCCTACAGAGTCCACTCGGTCACGTGGACCCACCTTTAATCCTCACCACAGTCTCCTTAAAAGAAACAGATGTCTGACACTTCTAGGAAGTGGTCCAAGGCCACAAGGCAAGAACCAGTGAGAACAAACCTCTTCTAAAGCAACAGAATACAAAGAAACAATAAAGGACTAAAAATAAGTGCAAGCATGCTCACTTGGGGAAACTGTGAATAAGATACAAAAGATGCAAAAAGACCAAAAACTCAATTGTGATATCTGAGGTGTGGGAGAAAAAGCAGGGAACTACTCATGATCAGATACAGGCCACAAGGATGTGGGCAGACCTTTACCACCTAAACCATGGATCTGACCCTATTTTCACCCCGTTTAAAGGACCAGCTCATAAGGACCACCACACCATTCCCGGGGAGGGCGAGATGAGGGACATGTATGTGATAGACTATCAGCCAAAAACATCGCCATTGAAATTATGAAATGACGCCACTGGTAGCCACAAGGATGGCCCTGAACAGATAATAAACTGAGGGAAGCAAGCTAGACAGAAGGAGACGATAGCATAAGATGTCCCTTCTAAAGCAAAGGAAAAAAGATGCCAAGGAAGAAATTTACAACCCATAAGAGACGCTAAGAATTGAAAGACACAAAAAGGGTTCCAAAACAAGAAAAAGCACTGAGGATGCGTTCCACAGGAGGTTTGGCCAAAAAGAGACACAGAAATGTGTGTCTGTAAAAAATAATCCACAGGATTCTCTCCATCCTGCCTCCATCCACACATAGAATTCTGGCCCTAAACCCTATACACAGAAATCTCTACCTGCAATGAATAATCCAAAGAATTTCCTTCTTCCTTCCTTGTTCACATATGAAGAAAACTGTATCTGAGACAGATAACCCACAGGGACCTGATGGGGACCACGTTCCTCAACCTTCTGCAATAAGCTCTATGGGAGGGGCAGTCAGAAGAGACTAGATACACTCCACATATGCCTAATACCTGAAACAGTCGGCTTAACAGTGACGACAACACGGCTTGCAAAAGGACTATACTCCAAGAGACTACTGGCGTGACATTCACTCCAGAAAGGGAGAAAGGGCAACGAGCACTCTTTCCCCTCAAAGCCTCTGAAGTTGGAGCGAGATCGCACCCCTGCAGCCTGATCAGACATTGGACCCATGCCTCCCCTGGGGTGAGGTCGACACAGCCAGGTAGGGCATCCTGTCCTGAGCCCCATCTGAATCCTCTCTGCTCGTCTCTGCCTGGGACTACAGTCCCGAGGAAGACCGAGGCATCCAGGGCCTTTGGGTTCTGTCGGCAGAATAGTCACCCAGCCTCCACGCCTCCTGGTGCTGGGGTTCCCGCCGCAAACCTCCTTCCTGAAAGTGCAGCCTCCTGGGCTTCTGTGTGAAAGTGAAAGTCGCTCAGTCCTGTCTGACACTGTGTGACCCCATGGACTATACAGAATTACCCATGGAATTCTCCAGGCCAGAACACTGGAGTGGGTAGCCTTTTCCTTCTCCAGGGGATCTTCCCAACTCAGGGATCAAACCCACGTCTTCCGCATTGCAGGTGGATTCTTTACCAGCGGAGCCACAAGGGAAGCCCAAGACTACTGGAGTGGGTAGCCTTGCCCTTCTCCAGGGGATCTTCCCAACCCAGGGATCAAACCACGTCTCCTGCGTTGCAGGCGGATGCTTTACCAACCAAGCTATCAGGGAAGCACCTTCAGAAAGGTTCTGCAGCCTTGGTTTGGACTGGTCCAGAGGGAGGGGCTGTGAGGCTTTAGGGGAAAGCAGCAGTGAGACAACCCTTCAAGCCGACTTGCCCGGAGGCTCTGTTTGCCCGAGGAACCACAGATGGGCAGGAGAAAGTGCTGCCGTCTTGTGGACACTTCCTGTAACTACAATGTGACCACCGCTCCTTACTTGCACCTCGAATTCACAAGGCCAGGGGCCTCTTAAGACACAGCTGCCTTCACAAAATGTCCTGGGGCAGATTTGGAAGGGACGAATTCCCAACACAAGGGACTTTTAAGAGGCCAGTTACCACAGGTCACTTAGCCTCACAACCTTTGAGGAGACAAAAGAAAAATATCCACAAACCTGCACCCTAAGAGGACGCTCAGCATCCCTAACTATGACAGGCATGCCAGTCAAAACGGCGACGAGAATGCAAACCCCGGCGCTCAGAATGGCCATCCTCATACAGCTGCAGGCCATAAATGGGGGAAATACCCCGGTGGAATTGGTATCTCCCAATACAATTTGCAATGATGTACAATGGCAAGAACCAGTGTAATGAACAGGCACCAAATGCCAGACTAAATCAGTATGAAAGGCTACGCCTGAGATCTGACGTTGTCACATCTGGGTGTATATGCAGACAAAAGCATTGTTCCAAAAGGCACATGCATCCCATGGATCACTGCAAGAGGACCTACGTAAGCCAACACACAGAGCAACCAAAATCTTCACTGACCAATTAAAGTTTTAACCAGCTGAGGTACATGTATACGATGGACTATTATGGAGCCATAAAAGACCACCATGGGAATTATGAAATGATGCTGCTATGAGCTACAACGATGGACCTGGATGGATCATAGGCTAAGGGAAGCTCTCCAGACAGAGGGAGACAATAGCATAGGATATCCCTTCTAAAGAAAAACGGAAGAAATTTACAACCCAGACAGACACTTTCGGAATTGAAACACCCACAAAGGCTTAAAAAAAAAAAAAAAAAAAAACTGAATTGCTGGGACTAAATCACCAGGAGGTCGGGCTTCAGAGAGATACAGAAATCTGCATCTGTAAAAATAATCCACCAGGATGATCTCCTTCCCGCCTCCATCCACACATACACAGAATTCTGAACCTCTCCCCTATATAAAGAAATCAGTAACATCTGTAAAATAATCCACAAGGATATGTGCCTTCCTTTCTGTTTCATAGGAAGAGAACTGTATCTGAGACAGAAAAACCACAGGGACCGGATGGGGACCACGTTCCTCAACCTTCTGCAATTAGCTCTATGGGAGGGGCAGTCAGAAGAGACTAGATACACTCCACATATGCCTAATACCTGAAACGGTCGGCTGAACAGTGACGACAACACGGCTTGCAAAAGGCTTATACTCCAAGAGACTACTGGCGTGACATTCACTCCAGAAAGGGAGAAAGGGCAATGAACACTCTTTCCCCTCAAAGCCTCTGAAGTTGGAGAGAAATCACACCCCTGCAGCCTGATCAGACATTGGACCCGTGCCTCCCCTGGGGTGAGGTCGACACAGCCAGGTAGGGCGCCCTGTCCTGAGCCCCATCTGAAACCTCTTCTCTGCTCTGCCTGGGACCAGAGCCCTGAGTGTGATCAAGGCATCCAGGGCCTTGGGGGTCTTGCACCAAATAGTCACCCAGCCTCGGTTTCTTCTGGTGCCGCGTTTCCCTGCTCACAGCTCCCTCTTGAATGTGAGCTTCTAAGCACCTTCAGCCGGGTACTGCAGCCCCCTGGATTGTTTCAGAGCTGTGCACGTGTGAATTTAGAGGAAGAAGTAGTGAGATAGTGCCCTTCGGTGCGTACTCAGGCACAATTCTCTTATTCGCAGCCCAGCAAGCCGACTTTCCCTATTCATCCCAATCCGAAAGAAGGGCAATGCCAAAGAATGTTCAAACTGCTGCACGAGTGCACTCATTTCTCTTGCTCACAAGATCATGCTCAAAATCCTCCAAGCTAGGCTTCAACAGTATGTAAACCA